CTTTGAAGTTTCTGTGGCATCACTGTTATAAGACTGAAACAGCAGCATCACCTACAGTGCTATATACCTAACAGCTGAACACCACACACATATGCAGTGGTATATGGGATTCTGGAAATCTCAATGCCATATGTTAAGCTTGTGTATTGTTTGACATTTAGAAACAATTTAAGATTTATTTACTATCAGTCACCTGTTTCAACAATACTGTGTATGCTTCTCTGGACAATTCAATATTGTTTTACATGTTCACAAGCATATTTATGACAATGCTGGAGCCTTAAATGTTGTATCTATAACTATGCAGTAATTTAAGTGCTTTGTAACAAACAAATAATCATAACTCCTTTTATTTATCATGCAAATGCATACTTAGTCAAAGTAAAAACTTGGTAGCTTGGATATTCTTCCAGTTGCTAAAATTTAAAATCAAACAACATAAAAATTAGAATAATATCAATTAATTTTGTAAAATAAAACTTTTGATACTTATAATTTTCCATTACCAAGTTTGAAAACCATTAGAGAATGAATAAAATCATCCAGTCTATTAAGATAATATAGTACTATTGTGTCAACAACACTAATTTTTCTATGCTAGCTAGCTGTTGTAATGTTGTTTTTAACAATTATGGTATGATACATGTCAAGTTTTTAAAAGTTAGGTGTATAATACTGTAGCAAAATGATCAATATTTTTTAATGAAAGAACTAAAACTTCCACTATAATAATATAATATTTTGAATTAACCAATTTTTACCATATTGTCTGAAAGTAACCTAAATAAGTCAAAGTTAAAATAATGTTAATGTATTTTGTAAAAAAAAAGTTTTAATTATTATAGCTTTATTTTATAATGTTTAAAATCAGAGTTTAACCACATAACATTAGTTTTATTGTGATGAAAGCACTAACTCCTTAACTGAGGGTTGTAGCCTACCGAAAGGTTAATTTGCTCCTTGCTACTGAACTCCAATGGTTTTAGAGTATATGCATTTAGGTCTTCTTTTCTTTTTTTAACCCTATTTCCCCGGTGCCATTTTTAAATTCCTTTCTGCATATGGTACTGTGTTACATTCAAAATTTAACTAAACCACTTTACTATCAATATAAGTCAATGAAATGAACATTATAATGTATGTTATAATTAGTATTTTTATGTTATCTAAGTTATAATTCTTTTATTTCAAAGGAAACACTAAAAAAAACTATTTAAACTGCAGTTTTTGTGTCACGTGATCCACATACCATGAAAAATCTCGACATTAGCAGTGGTTCACTCTCAGACATATAAACTGGCAATGTACAAGAGTATGTAGATGCTAAGTATTTGTGGTTGACCTATTTGAGATGTAATATCCAAAGTCCTACAACTATATTCACTGGGACAGTTTCCACACCCAACTGCTATACTTTGCCTTGAGATCTACAATATACATGTAGTTAGTTGACACAAGTGTATATAGTTGTTAGAAAGAGCTCAGTTTACACTATACTCTACCAATGGTTAATTTGAAATTGGTGAGCAGTTTTCCTCCCAGTGTATATGCAACTATCATTGGTATTGTTGTCTGCTTGATTGACTATAGCACTTACAGTGGTTTCTTAACTAAATAAGCTATAGTTAGAGAGACAGTTAAATTGTATTTAGGTCTTACTTTTATATTTTAGTTAATTATGTATTATTTTGTTTTCAAAATTATATTTGAAAGGTTTAATGATTTTTATAAATTTAACTTGTTATTGCCTGGATTGTGAAAGTGTATAAACAAGATGGTGTCATTTATGTGTGCAAAGCATTAGTTAAACAAGTCTCTGCATGGAAGGGTCATCATATAATATTACTAAAGCCCCATGTGCACCAGCATAAATAATAAAAGACAAAGAATTGGAAAGGAAAATTAAAATATACGTGAATATAAGTGAAAAGACAAAGATATGAAATTATGTATATTAAAAAAACAAGTTTCAAAAGAATTCTAAAAGGTATGTACATATTTTCATTTCTTAATTTTTTTTGGTTTGGTTTATTTGGAAGTTTGCACAAAGCTACATGAGGGCAATCTGCATTAGCCATCCCTAATTTAGCAGTGAAAGACTAGAGGGAAGACAGCTAGTCATCACCACCCACCACCAACTGTTGGGCTGCTATTTTCCCATAAATAGTGGGGCTGAGCATCACTTTATAATGCCCCCATGGCTGAAAGGGTGAGAACTTTTGGTGGGACAGGGATTCAAACCTGTGACCCACAGATTGTGAGCTGAGCATCCCAACCATCTGGCCATGAAAGGCCATTCTTAATTTTAAACACTTCATTACAGTGTATGTTTATAATAATAGGTAGTTTATGATGTAGAGAAAATTGAAAATAAAATATAAACATTTACTTTAAAAAAACTTTTGATATTCATTTAGGAGGTTCTAGAGATTATGCAAATGAAATGTGAAATCTGTAAGATAATAAATAGTATTTTTATACTTCATATATTTTATACTTTGCAGGTATTCAGAGTCCGAGTGCAAATAACTACATTAAATAATTTTTTTTATTAGAAATAGTAGAAAAAATAAAAAATTTTATTTTTCTGAAACTACATACTTTTAGGAATGTTCTTTTCAAATTTTAAACAATTTCATCTGCTTGTTTCATTTTTGAATGATATATGACAAGAGCAACATTACCTACTAATAAAATTAGAAGCCATTAGTCATAGAGTTAGGGAGAATGCTTGGAGCAGTGGAACATATTTCACATTGAATTTCATAAAAACACTTGGTAATTTGAACAAGTAGTTCTTGTTACATCTGCATTTTAAAAATGAAGTACTGTTATTTTTATTTCATTTGATTAAAATTCACTACATACATAAAGCAGACTTCTGTGTTAATGTGACTCTGAATATAGTGTAAATACGAACCATAAAAACACTTGAAAGGTGACATAAATTACATGTATTGTCTATGCAGTAAATAAACATGTAAGGAAACAAGCAAGTATTAATAATGTTGTGTCAAAATATATTCCAGCACATACAATTGCATAAGTAAAATAGGAGCAAGAACAGAAATAAAAGTGAGCTCTGTCAAATTCCTTTCTATAGAAAATGATCTAAATAACTAGTCTGAAACATACCTTGTACAGAGATATGGTAAGAACCCAACTTGTATGAAAACAGAAACATACGATGGCACCGTATGTAAATATAACGTGAACAAAAAAGGAAATATTATTCTTTCTGTTTTGTCATATACCATGCACAAATATTACATGTAACTGATACGTACGTTTGGACTGAATTATGTTTTCTTTATTTGCTTTCACGATGCAAATATTATAAATATTTTTGGGCCTACATAAGTGTGTGGTTATCTTCATTCTTTACTATATTTTTGTTCCTTTAAGCTTGCTCTTCTCTACTACAGCAATTTCATCTATTGTTCCTTGTTGAATAAGAGCACAAACAAAACAGATATATTCAATTTATAAATGTATTTTGTATGATAAAAAGGGGATAATTAGATTGTATTTTGTCCATTTGACAAAAGTTTTTTTTTCAAAAAATTGCATACCTCTACAATCAATTAATCATAATTAAAATATAACAATAATCAATTAATCAAAATTAGGGTTTCTGATTATCACCATTTTAAATCCAAGTTTATGGGCTTAGCTCATTTGGTACTTGCTCATATACAGAATGATAAACAGTTCAATAATACTTATGATAACTGACCTTTCTTAACATGTCTTCTCAAGAACTGGTAAGATTTTGTTAAAGATTACAAGCATTTTGCATACAAAAATGATATTTTGATTACGTATTTTAACTTATTTTTGGATTGTAGTTATTTACACTCAAACTCTGAATATTTCGAGTATTATCATCAACATACAGTGCAATGGAATATTTAAAATCAAGAACTAGAAAAAGGTACAGACCCTTTATTTTTTCATCAAATAATCTTAAAAGATCTTTTCGTTATATTCTTCATTGTAAAATCTTTACATTTTCATATATAGTTTATTTCTAGTGTTTTATTTATTCCAACACACATCAACAGGTGTACTTGGGCAATATTATGGTATCATTGGCAGAGATACTTTAGCCTTCAGCAGAATGTTGTTGCACTCACAAGGCAAAATTTGAGTTATATTTTGAAAAATTATTAAATCTTTCTAATATACATAAATAACACATAATTAACTAAAATATAAAACTAAAACCTAAATACAATCTATCTAATTAACATATTTCTAGGTGACAAACAATACTAAGTGCTAGCAAGGACATAACCAAGGACATAAGTGCTAAAATATAAAACTAAAACCTAAATACAATCTATCTACTAACATATTTCTAGGTGACAAACAATACTAAGTGCAAGCAAGGACATAACCAAGGACATAAGTGCATCACTAGAATATGCATTTTAAGCGTAACAAAATGTGACCCGATTTCAATTAAAATTATTAACTCATGTAAAAGTACATATGATGTTTTGTGAAAAATCTGTAGGTGATGGAGAAAAATTGATATCATTTTTGGATTCAATGTACTGGAATTACTGTAGAACATGTAAAAATTTCAAGACAATAAAACCATCACAGGCCTGTGTTATTATTTCTGTTTAAAGATAATGCTTCTGGTTGCCACTTGTGTCAACCCAATTTAGAAATCTATTTTGATAATAAAACTTTCCTGCAGGAATTATTTTCATACTCTCGTGATACTAGTAAAATTTCAGTTTTTTGAAGAGTTTCTTACTAGAGAAATGATTTTTCAAACATTTCCAAGCCCTAGAAATAACTTTGGCATTTTTCCAAACTCTTTTAAGAGCCTTCCAGACTTGAGTATGAACCCTGATTCTATGATCACAAGGAATATACAATCTTTTAAGCATTATGACAAAGTAAACAATGTCTACAATTTACTATCATAATAACAAAAGTAAACACATTTTTTTTGCATGTCCTATGACACATGAAGAACTACATACCTTCTATATGTTCTATTATAAAAGGGTCATCCATTATATTTTTCCTGTTTGTTTTAAGGATTTTCTCAAATTCACTGATATCACTATTTTGGTAGGCACTGGAAAAATAAAATGTAAAAATGAGTACAAAAAAATTCAATAATAATTATCTGAAACTAAAATACTGAAGAATTACTACATGCCAATACCATGTACGTTATTGAACAATTCTGCATTTAGGATATTTGTTAATCATTAAACTTAATAAGCAAACAAAATTATACAATTTTCTGTTTATAAGTTTGATATTGTATTCTTGATCACATTCCACAAGGTTGATTTTAGAATTTTTCTCAAATGAATGCAGCTGGTTGTGTTGGCAAAATATTTAAGTCTTAAGCTTTATTAAGTTTTTTAAAACATAATGTAAAATGTTAACACAATAGAAGATTTTTAAATCAAAATATTTTAACATTTCATCAAAATTCTAGAAAATATACCTTGTTTTGAAAGCCTCATTCAGTCCATTTATTTTGACTGCTTTACTGGTAACAGAAAATTAACAGTACTGAAAGAATAAATGGATAAGTTCCCAACTTACCAAACACTTATATTTAACTGTTAAAGGAAAACAAAGTTTTAAACTTTGTACCAATAAATACTGAATTGACAATTCTAACTATATACAATTTTATGTGACAATATATTAAACATTTTCCTATAAAAACAGCTTTCAAAAATAAAGCATAAAAACAATTTCAAACGTTTGCAGTTAAATCTATAATAGTTTTGAAAGTTAATCAGTTCTTCAATGACCTGCTGTTACAAACTTACCTCACTAAGTTTGTCATTGCCAAAATTTCTGGATCATTTTTATATGGCTTAGCTTCCTGAGAGTCAAATGGGTTAATTCCAGATTTCATCAGCATGTTTGCTAGAACTAGATACTTCAGACAGGTTGTTCTCCTACAAATTTATCAAACATAAATCAAAGCATTATTTCAAGCTCATTTTACAATTAACTGAAAAGCCATGGTCACAGTGAGATAGTTTTGACAACTATAATGAGTAAACTATTATACTTGTTCAAAAAATGTTATATTATTCCAGGGTTTAAATGTTACAAAATTAACTTAAACAAGAAAAGAAATGCGAGGCCTTGTCTAATATTGGATTTACCATGCATTACAGAGATAAATTGGTTTTGATGAATTCCACCTCTCATCAGTAAATCCTGGATAACAGCAAACTGAAAAACAAGACCAAGCATATTCTAGTGATGTACTGCTGTTTACATATGTGATGTTTGAGTTATTCTTTGCTCACAACTTGAAAAACAAGACCAAATTGACAACCACTGGCTATAGATTTCTCTAAACCAATCATGATTTGTGTCTTGCTAGTATATAAATGGTTAACAGGCTGCATGGCGTGTCATTTCTGGGTAGTATTTGTTTGTGTATGCACTTTGACATTATTTTTTCTTTTTAATATTATTTATTCATTGCTATGGCATCAAGAGGTTATGTAATTGACCCAAACATATTCTGTTATTTTTGTGGTAAATTTGTTGCAAAGAAACAAATGCAAAACATTACAAACAAGTGTATTACACATATATTGGAATAAAACTTGAGTACCAAGACAGATCGTTGGCTCTGCACAAAGTTTGCACCATTTGTGACAAAGAGTTAAGACAATGGACTAAAGGTAAGAAAAAGTCTTTTCCCTTTGGAATTCCAATGGTCTGATGTAAGCCTAGAAACCACGGAGATGACTGCTATTTTTGCTCATGTAAAGTGCAAGGCTACAACACTCAAAAAGGGAATTTCTTACCGAATCTTC